AAAAATTATAATCATCCTCATCAGTTCACTCAGTCCCATGTACTTTTTTTTTTTCTTGATCTTTTGTTAGCACTTTTATGAATTCATCAGTTTTCCATTAGAGTTCTGAAAATGCTTATTCATTCAGTTCAGCAGTATAGTTAGTTACCAGAAACCTGTACTTGTCAGTCTTTTCCATGAATTCCTTGAAGATGAAACACTTTTATAAGAACATTTTTGCAAAAGCATCAGAATACACCCTGAACTGTCTGTAAATGACAAAAGACTTAAAAATGACCACAGTTAAAGATTTGATGAAAGTTCATAATAATGCAGTTGACAAGGAAATTTAGTTATTTCTGAGATATACATTTTAAAGTAATAACTAGAATTATGACTTATAACATTATACCAGAACGTATAAGATTTTTAGAAATTTCATGTAATGTATGAAACATTTATATTAACATATTTCCATATAAATAACCCAAAGAAAGTTTAGTATTAGTTGTTTCTTTTTGTTTGGTTGGTTGGTTTTTTTATACTGCAGGTTATTATTAGTCATCAATTTTATATACATCAGTGTATACATATCAATCCCAATCGCACAATTCAGCACACCACCATCCCCACCCCACCGCAGTTTTACATTTGTTCTCTACATCTGTGTCTCAACTTCTGCCCTACAAACTGGTTCATCTGTACCATTTTTCTAGGTTCCACATACATGCGTTAATATACGGTATTTGTTTTTTTCTTTCTGACTTACTTCACTCTGTATGACAGTCTTTCGATGCATCCACGTCTCAAAAAGACTCAATTTCATTCCCTTTATGGCTGAGTAATACTCCATTGTATATATGTACCACACCTTCTTTATCCATTCGTCTGTCGATGGGCATTTAGGTTGCTTCCATGACCTGGTTATTGTAAATAGTGCTGCAATAAACACTGGGGTGCATGTGTCTTTTTTAATCATGGTTTTCTCTGGGTATGTGCCCAGTAATGGGGTTGCTGGATCATATGGTAATTCTATGTTTAGGTTTTTAAGAAACCTCCATACTGTTCTCCATAGTGGCTGTATCAATTTACATCCCCACCAACAGTGCAAGAGGGTTCCCTTTTCTCCACACCCTCTCCAGCATTTGTTGTTTGTAGATTTTCTGAGGATGCCCATTCTAACTGGTGTGAGGTGATACCTCATTGTAGTTTTGATTTGCATTTCTCTAATAATTAGTGATGTTGACCAGCTTTTCATGTGCTTCTTGGCAATCTGTATGTCTTCTTTCCAGAAATGTCTATTTAGGTCTTCTGCCCATTTTTGGATTGGGTTGTTTGTTTCTTTAATATTAAACTGCATGAGCTGTTTATATGCTTTGGAGATTAATCCTTTGTCTGTTGCTTCGTTTGCAAATATTTTCTCCCATTCTGAGGGTTGTCTTTCATCTTGTTTATGGTTTCCTTTGCTGTGCAAAAGCTTTGAAGTTTCATTAGGTCCCATTTGTTTATTTTTGTTTTTATTTCCATTACTCTAGGAGGTGGATCAAAACAGATCTTGCTGTGATTTATGTCAAAGAGTGTTCTTCCTATGTTTTCCTCTAAGAGATGCAGGGGACACGGGTTCGTGCCCCGGTCTGGGAAGATCCCACGTGCCGCGGAGCGGCTGGGCCCGTGAGCCATGGCCGCTGAGCCTGCGCGTCCGGAGCCTGTGCTCCGCAAATGGGAGAGGCCACAACAGTGAGAGGCCCACATAACGCAAGAAAAAAAAAAAAAAAAAAGAGGGTTCTTCCAATGTTTTCCTCTAAGGGTTTTATAGTGTCTTACATTTAGGTCTCTAATCCATTCTGAGTTTATTTTTGTGTATGCTGTTAGGGAGTGTTCTAATTACATTCTTTTACATGTAGCTGTCCAGTTTTCCCAGCACCACTTATTGAAGAGACTGTCTTTTCTCCATTGTATATCTTTGCCTCTTTTGTCATAGATTAGTTGACCACAGGTGCGTGGGTTTATCTCTGGGCTTTCTATCTTGTTCCATTGATCTATGTTTCTGTTTTTGTGCCAGTACCATATTGTCTTGATTACTATAGCTTTGTAGTATAGTCTGAAGTCAGGGAGTCTGATTCCTCCTGCTCTGTTTTTTTTCCTTCAAGACTGCTTTGGCTATTTGGGGTCTTTTGTGTCTCCATACAAATTTTAAGAGGCTTTGTTCTAGTTCCGTAAAAACTGCCAGTGGTAATTTGATAGGGATTGCATTGAATCTGTATATTGCTTTGGGTAGTATAGTCATTTTCACAATATTGATTCTTCCAATCCAAGAACATGGTATATCTCTCCATCTATTGGTATCATCTTTAATTTCTTTCATCAGTGTCTTATAGTGTTCTGCATACAGGTCTTTTGTCTCCCTAGGGAGATTTATTCCTAGGTATTTTATTCCTTTTGTTGCAATGGTAAATGGGAGTGTTTCCATAATTTATCTTTCAAATTTTTCATCATTAGTGTATAGGAATGCAAGAGATTTCTGTGCATTAATTTCCTATCCTGCAACTTTACCCAATTCACTGATTAGCTCTTGTAGCTTTCTGGTGGCATCTTTAGGATTCTCTATGTATAGTGTCATGTCATCTGCCAACAGTGACAGTTTTACTTCTTCTTTTCCAATTTGGATTCCTTTTATTTCTTTTTCTTCTCTGATTGCCGTGGCTAGGACTTCCAAAACTATGTTGAATAATAGTGGTGAGAGTGGACATCCTTGTCTTTTTCCTGATCTTAGAGGAAATGCTTTCAGTGTTTCACTATTGAGAACGATGTTTGCTGTGGGTCTGTCATATATGGCCTTTATTATGTTGAGGTAGGTTCCCTCTAAGCCCACCTTCTGGAGAGTTTTTATCATAAATGGGTGTTGAATTTTATCAAGAGCTTTTTCTGCATCTATTGAGATGATCATATGGATTTTATTCTTCAATTTGTTAATACGGTGTATCACATTGATTGATTTGCATATATTGAAGAATCCTTGCATCCTTGGGATAAATCTCACTTGTTCATGGTGCATGATCCTTTTAATGTGTTGTTGGATTCTGTTTGCTAGTATTTTGTTGAGGATTTTTGCATCTAAATTCATCAGTGATATTGGTCTGTAATTTTCTTTTTTTGTAGTATCTTTGGTTTTGGTACCAGGGTGACGGTGGACTCAAAGAATGAGTTCGGGAGTGTTCCTTCCTCCGCAATTTTTTGGAAGAGTTCGAGAAGGATGGGTTTTAGCTCTTCTCTAAATGTTTGGTAGAATTCACCTGTGAAGCCATCTGGTCCTGGACTTTTCTTTGTTGGAAGATTTTTAATCACAGTTTCAATTTCAGTGTTTGTGATTGGTTTGTTCATATTTTCTGTTTCTTCCTGGTTCAGCCTTGGAAGGTTATACCTTTCTAAGAACTTGTCCATTTCTTCCAGGTTGTCCATTTTATTGGCAAAGAGTTGCTTGTAGTAGTCTCTTAGGATGCTTTGTATTTCTGCAGTGTCTGGTGTAACTTCTTCTTTTTCATTTCTAATTTTATTGATTTGAGTCCTCTCCTTCTTTTTCTTCATGAGTCTGGCTAATGGTTTATCAGTTTTGTTTATCTTCTCAAAGAACCAGATTTTAGTTTTATTGATCCTTGCTATTGTTTTCTTTGTTCCTTTTTCATTTATTTCTGCTCTGGTCTTTATGATTTCTTTCCTTCTGCTAACTTTGGGTTTTGTTTGTTCTTCTTTCTCTAGTTCTTTTAGGTGTAAGGTTAGATTGTTTACTTGAGATTTTTCTTATTTCTTAAGGTAGGCTTGTATAGCTATAAATTTCACTCTTAGAACTGCTTTTGCTGCATCCCATAGGTTTTGGATCATTGTATTTTCATTGTCATTTGTCTCTAGGTATTTTTTCATTTCCTATTTGATTTCTTACGTGATCTCTTGGTTATTTAGTAACGTATTGTTTAGCCTCCATGTGTTTGTGTTTTTTACTGTTTTTTCCCTGTAATTCATTTCTAATATCATATATTGTGATCAGGAAAGATGCTTGATATGATTTCAATTTTCTTAAATTTACTGAGGCTTGATTTGTGACCCAAGATGTGATCCTAAATGCTATTTGAACACTTACAATAGCAGACAACTCACTACCTCATTAAGCAGTTCAGTTAAACGTCTAACAAATTTTTTCATAATGAGCCAAAGCTTACCACATAATAAGATTTCAAACATTTGATATTCATGATTATGTATGCTTCAACCAAACTAATAATATTCTATTGATCCAGCAATCCCAGTTCTGGGTATATATTTAAAGAAGTTGAAATCAGGATTTGACTGATCCTGTTGAACCAGGATTCAACAGATACCCTGCAGGTATATGATCTAAAGATACCCACATTCCCATGTTCACTGCAGCATTATGCACAACAGCCAAGACATGGAAACAACCTGAATGTTCTGCAATGGATGAATGGATAAAAAATGTGGTATATATATGATGGAATATTATTCAGCCTTAAAAAAGAAGGAAATCCTGTTAATGCTGTTCAATGGGAAGGTTAACTCTCACTTAACTGCTTCTCTTTTCTTCTCTGTTTACCCAGGCAGCATGATACAGTGGAAAGACCTTTGGACAGAAAGGTCGGAAATGCATTTTTGAGGTTTTTTAACTCCCTGAGTGACCTTTGTGCTTTAGTGTTTTCTTGTGAGGTGAGGAAAACAGTCCAGAAGGTTTCCTAAGGTATTCTCCAATTCCACCCTATAGTCTGTATTATACCAACAATGCAGTTTAAGCATATTTACTGTAGGTTCAAATAATATGGGGAGAAGCAGAAGCTGAGCTCAGGAGAAGAGGAAAAGATATTTAAAAAGAAGAAAACTAAATGGGTTTGAAGAATGGAATCAAGAAATTCACAATACAAAATACTAAAATTACAAGACAATTCCACTTACAAATGATTGTTCTATGCCAAATATGGTGAAAAAAATTCCAGAAGATGGAGGAAACACTTTACCTGATATTTAGTAGCTTCAGTGCATTTAGCAGCACTCCCCTTTTTACATCATAGTCTATTTTCTGATCAGTTCCAAAGCTTGGAGCTCGATTGATCTGAAATTTACAAAGAAAACAATAAGTAAACAAATGTTGGTAGGTCAATCAATATGCAGTACAAATTTGTTAATTTAATGTGGGATCTCCAACCAGTAGGACTCTACAATAAATCTCAAAGCACTATATGGTAGATGGCCCAGTCACCATTGCCACTCCTCCCTTCCCCAACATCTTAAGTCAAGGTGTTGCAAGGAATTGACTGTCATCACTGCCCCTTCCTCCTGCTGCCCTAGCTTCAGATTTTCAGTCAGCATATCTGCCCTCTCCCTCCTCTCCACTCTCTCCAATCTATTACTCCATGAACTCTAGGTCTTAACTTTAAGAAGTTAAAGTGACTCATCCAGACAAAAAGGTTGGAGGACCAGTAATAACAATAACAATAATAAAAATGGAACAAAAAATAATAGGGATAGTACCAATATAGTAATAATTATATTCATGTATGTATTTCCCATATTGAAATTATCAGTGCCCTCTTTTCACTGCTTTCAGATCTTGTGGATGAATATGTCTATTGTTGCCTGAAAAATAAATTGTATTTCTTTCTTCCTGGGTCAGACAATAATTCATCAATTTTCATTTCATTTCATTGAAATTACTCAGAGGATACCATTAAAGGTAGCTGCAAACTAACCTCTATGAGCTTTTCTAACTGTTTAAGGAGTCATGGGAATAACTGAGACATTTGTGGTTGTTCTTCTTTCCCACATCATTTCTAGGATTTCACTAAGAAGAAAAATAAGAAGTAACTACATATACCCTGAAATCTAGTATACAATATATTACCACTTCAAGAGCTGGAGTATTTGTTTTTGTCTTTGTTGTTGTTGGGTTTTATTGTTGTTGTTGTTGTTGTTGTTATGAAAATGTAATTGGGATAGCAGATGTTTAAGAAAAGTACTTACTCAATTAACTCAGTTGGTGACATCACTGCTGAGTTCAAAACTACAGCTTTGCTTCATGACCACCAACTAACTCCACAGGCTATCTCAAAAAACATGCATGCTACTCCTCATAGAGGAGGGTCATCTTATACAAAACCATCACCACAAAAGACAAGATAACTGACAACACGCATTTTACAACTGGCAGCTGAAGGAAATGCCACATTACACTTAAGAAATCATCCAGGAATACAAATGCCTCTAATTATAAATGTGGCACAAGATCACTGCAGAAAAATTAGAAACAGAAGCCAAACAAACAACAGAAAGATCACCTGCAATTCCACTACGTTGTGTCTTGTTAACCATTTGATAAATGGTGCTCCAGATATTTGCTATGTATACATTTTATAATATTCATTTGCCTTCCAATATATCTCTATACTAAATATACTACTTTATAATCCAAGGTTTTCTCTTAATAATGTATTGTGAAAATCTTTCATGTCGTCATTTTGATAGTTACCTGGTATTCCTTGTATAGAATTATGGCAAACTGTATTTTTTTCCAATAGAGAAATGCCTTATTATATTATGCCTTTGCTGATTTCTGATATAGAAGGTGATGAACATATTCTTGTCTGTGTGATGTGGTCTCAAGGGGAAGAGAATAGCTTGGTAATTGCAAGAACATCCATTTATTCCAGGTAAATTTGAAAAAGGAAGTTTATTAATCTACTACTTCAAAGCTCCAAGTATTTCCTCTTACAAGTGCAGAGAAAGGGTAAAGTAATATTTTTATATGAAAAAAGTTTCAACCATTCAATACTGATTCAAATCTCTGGAATTTGCAAAACAAAGATAGTTCTGCTACTACATGTAACAGGATTATTTTAAAAAAAAAAAAATTTTTGAACTGATGATTAAGTGGTTTACTGAAATGTTATCTATCTTTATAGAATTCCTCAGTGCTTCATTCTAAAACTGCAGTCTGGAATTCTGCCAAGCATATCCCTCCTCCAGGATGGTAGACAGTCTCGGTACAACATAATCTCAGACCCTCTCTCTTTTCTATTTCAGATTCTTCACTCTACTCTCATGCAAGAGAAATTGGTCTATCAAGAAATGTACCTACACATCAAATAAACTAAAGCATGGAAAGGTAGAAAAACTTAATTCAATTAACATTTTGGATTTTTTCTTTAAGTTTTATGAGAAAGGTAAAGAAAAAAATAAAAGAAAAATCACAAATGGCTGACAGAAGAAATGCTGAAAATTAGGGTTCCATCCAGCCCAAGTTCTATTCTATAACGTGGATGGCTTCTTTGGTTCTCATTTACTAACCCAACTGTAAAACAAACAAAACCCACAAGTGTTAGAGTCTTAAAGCTCAGCAGCTTGTAAATGCGTACAAAAAGGAAAATTATTAGAAAGCAAATTAAATTAATAAATACTATTTATTAACCATCCAAATCACAGTTTTATTATCAAGATAAGCACAATCATTTCATGCACACATAAAAGTTTCCATAATAGATTCTGTGCTCCTAAATTAATGCTGTTTCCTCTGACCAGTAACTTCTCCCAGCCCCAGCCCCTACCCCACTTTCTACCACCTTAAATACTCTTCTCAGGTGTTCCCTCTTCTGCAAAGACATTTTTTTAACTCGCAAATATACATACGTACACAGAGAGATTAATCCCTCTGTTTGTGCTGGCTCCTTATTCCCTACTTATACTTGTAAATACTAGCATAAACACATATCTGAGTCCCCACTAGACCAGGACAACCTTATTTTTCTTCTATCTCCACCATCTGGCCCAATGATTTGTTGAAATTAATTCAAGGATACTTAAAATACTAGCATTATATTTATACTCCACTCAATTTCCATGTTTTTCCCTGAAAATGTTTTCTATGATTGAAAATTTCTGCAATTTGCCACTACGAATCATTGCCTGCAATTATTCCAGTTAACTAAAAGTTAACATGTTCAGAGGCACTCTCTACCTAATTCCACTTGATGGCGCCAAAAGGTTTTTACCAATGTATATTAGAAGTACTACGATTGCAGCTGGGAGAAAATACAAAGGAAGATCTAAATAAGATTCTTTAAACTGTTTTGATATAATAAATGTTCATTACCCACAGCTGTTGGTTATTGCGGCGTTTTTAAATGGTTATGATTGATCTGAAAATGATGAAAGAATGAATAGAAAATGAAAAGTTATTGTGGAGTTTTTTAATGGTTCTTATTGATCTGGAAATGATGGAGAAAATAAAGTATAAAGAAACATGAATGTAAACAATAGTATTTCTGAGCCTTTAAAAAATACAGAACGATTTAGTCAATTCTGATCTACCAAGCTTAATGGTAAGCTCCAGTTAGGCAAGTGCTTTTAAAAACAGGTAAATAAAATATCTATAAAATCATTATTCCTTGCTATGCTTTCAGTTCTACTTCATGCTTACTGCCTTCAGTTCTTTCCCACTCCATCAAGGATAAAAGACAAGCAACAGGGGCAGAAAAAAAAATACAGGTAAAAACAGGAAAGGAAAGTAAGAAGAGGAAAACAGCAAAAATAAAGGAAGAAAATGTTAGGCCTTAGGTGAAGGGCCATAGTCCAGTCAAGTGCTTTCATATCCAAGGAACAGAGGAAGCAAAATGATAATCAAAATTCTTCACATTTATCATATTTCTAGGACCCAGGCAGGAGCAAAATTTGAATACCTGACAGAACTGTATTTGATTGTAAATATAATACACATTATTTGCTCATAGTAGATTCAACACACACACAAATGAAACCAGTAGCCCTCAAACTGGAAAAGTGTTCTTTCCTAAAAATATATTTTGAGTGTCTTGATCTCACCTATCACTCATTCAATTTGCTTTTGCAAACCTTGATATTACAGATGTAACTTCTAACTTCTAAATCATTAACAAAAAAAGAGATAACCAGCTTACAGTGACAGGTAATTGTTGGTGATATCTTCTATAGTAATACTTTCCTTAAAATGTAACTAATCTAGTAAACACTGTTTAGGTAGGTGTTATTTTCTTGACAAAGTTTCCTAAACACAGTATTCTGTGGCCATGTGATCTATGACCATGGAGCTCGATGATCAGAGCCACATACTCTATGATCAGTGAACTTAGGGGAATTGCTGGATGTGGTACTGTGTGACATCTAAGGTTTCTTCTGTATACAATATAAATACAAACATGACTGAAAAGGTACAAAAATCTTAGACATTATTTTTATTTTGCCTTTATATTATTCTATATTTTCCAAATGATCTTTTATAATGGAAGAAAAATAATGACGACTCTGACCAAACCAGGGTCTGGCAGCAAACCCAAAGACACAGTTGACAGGCTAGACATGAGGGGAGCCCCAGGCATGTAATATGGCCTTAAAGGAGAATTCATGTCATGTGGGGTAAGTATTAACTACTGACTAATGAACTAATTGGAGCCTCTCTCCTCCTAGAGAGTTTGAAGGGGAGACACACTGAAGGCAGGGAGCTGCAGTCCTGCACGAAGAGGAGAGACAACAACCAGAAGTCATGAAGTGGTAGAGCTGTGAGGCTGAGAAAATAGTGGAAAGAGTAGACAACAAATCAGTAAAAGCAGATCCATGCGTATATGCAAAATACCTAACCTAGAAATTCACCCAGTGCTAATATGGGAAAAGTAAGATTAAATAGACTGACCCACTATCGGAACTGTTCTATTCCCTGAATGCTCATTCTCTTCCTCCCACATACTCTATTCAGGCTTCTTTCTGCTCAGTTAATGAAACAACTGTGCCAAGTACACATGTAAAAAACATTTGTTTTAGTACATAAGAATAGGGATCACGGGGGCCCTGAACCAAGATGGCAGAGTAGAAGGATGTGCTCTCACTCCCTCTTGCGAGAACACCAGAATCACTACTAGCTGCTGGACAATCATCAACAGGAAGACACTGCAACTCACCAAAAAAGATAGCCCACATCCAAAGACAAAGGAGAAGCCACAATGAGATGGCAGGAGGAGCGCAATCGCAGTAAAATCAAATCCCATGACTGCTGGTGGGTGACTCACAGACTGGCGAACACTTATACCA